ATCCAACAAGTCAGAAATCCATCATCTTGTTGAACCTTATTAATTATATCTTTAAGGTAATCTAAATCTTTTGAAATAAAATTACCATGATAACTTAAATTGAAGGAACACATAGTATTAAACTTCTGATAACCTTTATGATGTAACGATAACAGACAAGCAATTGCAACATGATTGTTAAGTATGGCTTGACAATGTTGTTTTTGTTCTTCATTAAGCATATTTACATCCATGGAGGCATGACTAGTACTGTTTAGGATAGCAGAGGCAAGTTTCATAGTAGTTTTATAAGCTGATAGAGCTAGTCCATGTAAACCCACCAAGGAGAATGTCAAAGCGTTAAATTCTGCCTTAGAGAGAAGCTTCACTGAATCATCACAGGTTTTATCAAGAGGAATAGATCTTTTATGAATAAATTACACAGGATGGTGACCTATTAAATAATATGTGGATGGTAAGGACACATTATTCTGCTAAAACACCAATGAATACCATGAGACATTTTTGCAGGTATATAACAATTTTATGCAAGTGAGTCAAGATATTGTAATGAGTTCTAGAAGTCCAGGATCTGACAGTACTGAATTTCCCAGAGCTGGTGTACAAAAACAGAGCAATATTGTTATTAAGACCAAAGCATTTACAGAGGTTTGTGTGAGTTTAGCAATCAAAGCAGAAACAAAGTTTTCTAGAGTATATTCTAACCCCATTTTAGCCAACACCTCTTGAGCTGAGGGTGTTAATGGTTTTAGTTTTATATCTCCCCAAGTAACTAGAATTCAAGTATCTTGGGGTCCTCTTTTAATGTTTCTCCTCTTTTGAGGAGAATGATTATTCTCTTGTTTGGATGAACTATTATCTTCCAGGGTTTAATAAAACTTAGAAATCAGCTTGTGAAGTCCCTGATGTACATTTATAATTGCTATTTTTCAAGCATGAAGCTAGAGTCCAAACAGGACATGTTGGCATAAGTGTAGCAGTCTATGCTTTTCTCCACATGATCAAAGGCATAGGATCTTGTCATGCTGGTCAGGTGGAACCTCATATATTACATAATTTTATTGGTAATGGCTGTTTGAGAATAAAATGTCTATTCAATGCAGATGACCAATTTTGAGTATTAACTTTATGTTGTATATTGAGCACATTAACTGTAAATAAAACAACATTTAAGGCATATTAATATAAGAGAGGCTATATCTTTGTTTCTGTTTTAAAAGGCAAGTATTAGGATACAATTTGCTCACTCAAAAAAAGCTCATCCAAAAGAATTATGAGAAATTTCATGATTTAAAACTATAACTCATAGATTAAAAATTGCGCAAAAGGATGAGATGTAAAGGCAGGAGCATTATCCATTTTTAAACAAATACGCCTCTACGAGCAGATCTTGCTTGGTTACTTTCCATGTTCTCTGCTGGAACTGACTTGACATTTTCTTTTTTAGATTCAATTCTGTTAGTAATTTTTTTCTTTTGTTTTGCATTTTCCAATAATGCATTAGTAATCATAAATATTTTGAAGTGAATAAATCATTATACTTCTACTTTGTAATTTTTTATATTTTTAAATTTTGATTAGTGATTTAATTTCTGGATCATTGCTTTTTTATTGTGGCATGCTTGGATTCTTTTCACACTTCATATATATATATATGGAGAGAGAGAGAGAGAGAGAGAGAGAGAGAGAGAGAGAGAGAGAGAGAGAGTCAGTCTTTGACTATAATATCAACCTTACAGAAAACAGTGTGTGTGTGTGTATATATATATATATATATATATATATATATATATATATCCCTCTTCTCTTTATATATCCTATAGATTTTTAATTTTTACAGTATTTTACAAGTTGCTTAGACTTGTCTTAAACTTGGCAATCCTTGATAAGGCTCTCCCTTATTTGTAGAATTTCAGATTTGCACACTAGGAATGCCCCTCTCATTTTTTTTTGTAAAGAATTATTCACATAAACATTGTGCTCATTGATGTTAATATTTTTCAATTTCAGTCTCTAAACTTTTTTTAAATAGTTATTTAGTGTTCTTTGAGTAACTCATCACTGTTAGTATCCTAATATTAATTTCTTAATGTTTTTTTTTCTTTTTTTGTAACTTGGATTTAGCCATGCTTCTCTTTGTTTATATTTGTTGTACTATTTTTTATTTATTCATTAAAGGAGCCAACAGTAGATTATATAGTCCATTTTGGGGAAAAATATAAAGACTTAAATAAATAAAAATAGACAAGAACACTGCTGCATTTTTGTAATATTTGCTAATTGGGAGGCCATGCAAAAGTACTTCATGTTTGAGAATAGTCACAGAAATTTAGAAACAGCATGGCTCAAACAATTTCAAGAAGACTTGTGTTGTAGTTCGTGATATAGAATTTTTGGGGTAATCTCAAGCATTACACATGAAACATTGAATTGCCAGTACAAAAATGTATCCATGAACAATTAAATCAGAAAATTGAAGAGATACCTCTGCTTTTTTATTTAGTGCCAAAATTTTTCTCAGTATTAAAGCTAGGGACTCAATGTGTGTGCCCATTAATGTCAAATGTTTAAAAATATGTACTTATATACTATTATTATTTAGTTATACAATATTTTGTCTCTTAAAGTGTTATAAGAAATATATGCAGGACTTTGAATTAAGTGAAAGGTGGCAGACAGATATTAAGTTGTAGGAGCATTTGACTCACATGTGGAAGTCAGAAATTTAGTGAGCAAAATTTTGCTCACCAGGTACTGTGTTTTGTGTAGGGTTGATATTATAGTAAAAGTCTCCATATTTTTTTATTTTATTGAGCATAATAGGGTCAAGAGTTTTATTTTACCACATTGTGAGTGTATTATGTTTTTCATAAATACTAGTAGAAGGAATACAATACCTTGTAAGAAAAAAATTGATAATTATATAAAATAATGATTTTGTTAATTCATTCTATTTAGTCATTTTACCTTGTATATATAGTATAAAATACCATGATATATTTATAAATAAACAAAGTTTTATTTGTCAATAAGGGAGATTCTCATATCACATGAATATAAAAATATAAAAATCAATTTAATATACTTGATTGTCATGTGTTGAATTCATCCAAATATTATGGCCATAGGYTATGCAAGGTTTTTACAGTCTTTTAAAATGTTTTTATGAAAAATTTTATAGACATATATGTGTATATTTCTTAGTAAATTTTTTGTTCATATTTCTTTTTAAGAG